GTGCTTCGTGACAAGAGAAATAATTGCAAAAGGTCTAAAGTTGTTAGTGAATTTGTTTTTGTATTAGTGAAATAGATATTTTCCAGAGTCTGCACCCACTCAACACATAATTAAAAAGCACCCAAACCTTGCTTATTGTAAGGTACAATAACGCAATGCGTGTCAACCAATCATGTAAAGCCCAACAGTTTTCCCTAACTTTGCACTCTTAAATAACACACACCTGGGTTTAGATAAAATGACCTGAATCAAATGACTGAATTCCCTCATCTCCATTCATTCATTCAGTTCCACAGATGAACTGTTCATATGATTCAGTTGTGTTGGATAAGGGGCGAATGCCTCTAAAAGTTGAAAGGATGGGGTTCGAGACCTTTGCTTCAGATATTTTAGTCTCATTTAGAGGTTAAGAAACTGTCTCATTGAAGAAATATGTCCTAAGAATTAAAGCCGTTGAAACCTATCAAAAAAAAGAGATTATTTACACCAGCCGCTCTAATGAGTCACCTAGACTAGACTCCCAAGAACACTGGTTAAAGAATGTTATTAGTTTGGTTATTTCTCCAAGCTATCGCTGCTGAAATGTTGATTTTGAAGGTTTTGCTGTAAGGAAGTTATGTTTTTCTAATTTGATTTTTGATTTTTTAATGACTTATTGCATGAACTAGAGTCGACAATTACACTCTCTTGAAAATCACTTGAGTAAAAAGTTGATCACACTTCAGTTTCTTGTTTGCCAATGGATTATTATTTTGGGTCGATGTTTTTCTGTTCGATTGGAATTACTGATTCTACAGAAAAAGCTAGCCGAGTGCTAGCAAGGTTGTTGACGTCTTTGTACTCATCCAAAGAACATAGTAAGTCTTTACATTCAAAGTACGCTTGCAGTGAGATGCTGCCTGGCGGCATTCTGATGGCTTTCACTTGTCACGTGTCCCACAGCAGATCTGTGTATTGTCATAGCTGTGTATAAATCTGTATCAGCACAAAGCAGAGGTATTGGTCGTGATCTGTATGCATCATCCGTGACAGTGTCTTCTAGAGTTGTGGCTCGTGTGACATTTGTTCTTAAAATACAGCTGCCGAGATTTCAATGGACAATTTTGGGAACCTCCGAGGAAATCAAGTCCAGTCTATGAATGACAAAAGCAATCAGACGAGCAGCTGCTCTCCCATTGGCTCTGAGGTGCATGTAGACCACTGTGTGTTACAGCTGCTGGGATTGGTGAGGCGAATAAAACAGCGAGATATTGTCAGCAGTTCAATGTCTGGCGTGAATGTTCTCTCTCCTAATCACAACAGTATTGTATTAACTCTTGTGTGCGTGTAACCACACCGTAACTCCAATGATTTTTTCCAGGTGGCAGATGATTGGTCCAGCCAAAACGCGCTGCGAAACATTTGCGGTTCAGAGTCCACGTATTCACCTGTTCGTAGAGTTTTCTGTGGAACGAAACTACAAATTATTCTCAAAGTTTGCCCATTTGGGGATTTTTATTTAAAATATTGAAAAGAAAAGCTCTGGTGAGCAGTTCAATTAAGAGCTCATAGTTAGCATTGCAGCAGAGGTTTATATGAGTAATATTGGCTTGAAAAAATGCATTTCATGCAAATCCACTCCCACTCCTTGGTCTTTTTTGTCTCCACAGCATTAAGAACAAAGTCATAAACCTCTGACAGAAAAAAAATATTTTTCCTTTTCCAGAACAAAATAACGATACAGACGGTGAGCTGAACCGCTGGTGGTTGCTGCACCTATGCTCCAAGTAGCTGACCCACCAGCTACAGCAGCCACGGCTATTTATTTACATGCATCTTGATAAGTTGTGATAGATTAGCTCTGTATTTCCTCTTGTTAACCAACTGCACAGCGGTCTTCAATCCTGGTCCAGGGGCTGGTTTTCTTTACTACCATCTGCGTAATTGCATTCGCAAGCTGTCTCTGATGTGGATCAGTCTTTTTATTAAACTGAAACAAACTAATCTCTCTTTCCAGACTAGTTGGCCAGAGAGCCACTGACCTCAGGTGGTCCATTGCGAGCTGAATGCAGGCCAGGTGTAAATCCACACAGAGAAGAACTTGGCATTTGTCTCCTCCATTTTGATCAGATATTGTTTATGAAGTAGTAAAAGTCTGTCACATTGTTGAGTGTGTACTAAATAAAATTCGAGGAAAAAAAAAATTTTTAATCAGGGCATCATCGCGTACTAAAATTTAAAGAGCAAAGCTGTCCTAATTCGACCAACGACTTTAATGAGGGCTTCTGTCTGCGTCAAGTTAAATGCAGCATGGCAGTGCGTGTGCTATGATTAATATCCTGTATCTTTGGACTACAGTGTGAGGCAGATTGTGGTAAATTATATATTAAAAAAAAAGAAAGGAAAACTTTTGGGGAAAAATAAACTGTGTGACTGTGAACTTGTTTTATATGCTTCATAAAACCAGTTTTGACGAAAAAACAAAAAAGTCAGTTTAAACAACATCAAGAACTGGTGTTATTTTTATTCTGGTTTCTGTTTGTGAATGTTTTCCCATCAACTGTTCTTGGAGTTATGCCATGCATCTGTAATTATTTGCATCTGTGTCTGGTTATTTGACGCTCGAGAACATTTTACGTCCAAATAAAGTTTGAAAAGACACGGACCTGCAAACATCACAACTCCTGGAAAGCATCTATGTTTGTTTCAAAAGTTATATGCTCATCCCCACCATGGCATCTGCAACTTCAAACCCAGGTGTATTGACAATTTATATAGAAATTAAAGCCCTGACATCTTCATATGTTACTTCCTAAAATACTAATAAAGCCAAAAAAAAAGTATGACAACTAAATTACAATAGATTTTTCAAAGCAGTTAAAGGCACTTTTCACACAGAAATGTAAATATTTGAACCATGCCCTCTTAATCAGAAAGGCACTACCATATATGGTAAATAACAAATGTTACCACACAATTTTCTGTCCTCTATTTAGTATGTAATATTAGGTGTCTTTTTAACATTTTATTGTGAGAATACTAACTTCAACCAGGTTTGAGCTATATGACTGGGAGTGTCCTCCGAAAATCTCATATACTGTAGTTCAGTTTCAAACTTAAAAGGCTGATTATGTTCAAAAGAGTGAGACCTGCATACATGTTAGAGTCTGGCCACCCCTAGACAGTCATAACAATTAAAAGAAAATCAAAAATGGTGAACATCAGAGAAGAACAGGAGTGGGACAAACATTTCAACATTTAAACGATGTCAGATTTTTAGTGTTTTGAATAAAAAAACAGCTAACACCATTGGTGCCTCAAACAAACTCTTATTATTGTTTTTGGCTGCTTCCTTAGCTGCAACTTTGTTTCTGTATGATTTGTTCATATTGTTCTTGATTCTTGACATGGAAATAAATATAAATATTGTGAGCTACAAGCTTGAACACAATGAAAGGTAAACGGTTTAAAAACTGCTTCCTTTTGTTTCTGAAAGTGTTTTTTTGTTGTTTTTTAAAGGGAAAAAAAACACATTTTTGGAAAAGAAAATCTAAAGCCTAAGTCACTGTTTGTGATGTAGTAGCACCAGACCCCTTTTCACTGCCAACTGAGCGGGTCACTTGTGTTTGAATGCTATGCAAGGTGAATGCAATTTGGAATTAGGGATTGCGAAAGGCTTGACAGACTTCTAAATTAAAGACGGCCTGCCGTTTTCTTCTTTTGTCTCATGAGAATGACTTTTAATTTCCAGACTCCACATTCAGGGGCTGAAAAAAAAATTGTGCTTCTTTTCAGTCTTGTCCTTTTTGACGAGAGAATATTTCTACACAAATACAGACAAGTGTTATTTTGGCTTCCAAGCACCAGTTTATACAACTGAAAAACCTATTTCCACTGGGCATCTATCCCCTCTTCCTATGAGATTTAGAAGTCTTTGCAGAGATTTCAGTATTTGGGCATCCCTCGCTCACAGAATACGAAAATATCTTCCAAGACTGGCACTTTCTTCCTTAATTCCCACTGCATTTCACCCCTTCCCAATTCCTGAATGAGAAAATGAGCGCTTCTCAGAGAAGAGCCAACCAAATAAACCCCTCTTTGGGCCTGGAGCCACTAATCTGTAATTTAATTTCACGCAGGCGTCTGGGGCGTGAGGACACAGACCAAGGTCAAGGACGACTGTACAGAGAGATCTGGATGTTTGGGCACAACCTGGGGTTTGATCAACACTCTCACACAGCTTAAACAGAGGACAGTGAGTGTTTTGTGAGCGTGTCTGTATGTGTTTTAGCATTCCTCACCTTGCAAGGCCCCTATCTCCAAGAAATGCTATGTTATGAGGATCCGCTTCTCCTTATGGGGCCCAAATCCTGGGCCCTACAGGAAGAATTGCTGTTTGTGTGAGTTGAGTTTAGGGTTAGGGTTAGGGATGTACTGGTATTGGGTAGGTTTACGGTAAAGGTCAGTGTAAGGCTATAGAAATTAATAAAAAATGACTGGAAGTCAATGTAAAGTCCTTGTGAAGATAGAAAGACGTGTTATGTGTGAATGCGCGCGTGTGTGTGTGTGTGTGTGTGGAGGCTGAGAGGTATTTCAGTAATGGTTACTGTAGTCAGACTTGATGCAAGGTAGCTATTCAGCATATGACAGCAACAAACATTCGCAGAGAAAATCCATTATTCAAAACGAGTAAAATGTTTGCAATGACTGAGCATCTGCAAACAGAGAGAGATTAGCCCCAAAATAGGACTGCGGCTAACTGGGAACAATTCAGCATGTCAGAGTTGATCTGCATGTAAATGAAATATTTATATTACTTTGACCGTAATTCACGCTTTGCTCATTATGGAGTGTAGTTGGCGGATAAATCACCTAATGGAATGTGGAAGGGTGAATTTGAACAGCCTGGCTAATCCTGCGGTGGAAGGGAAGAAGCGTCTGTAATAAACTCGACCTTGTTCCAGCTGAATGAAGATCGAGAGTCCCCACCCAAGAACAAAACCAATAACTACCAATGAGCCGACAGTTTCACCATGTCTCTTTAATGTAAATAGGCACTGGGTTTTTTTTTTTTTCATTATTTCAAACAAATGGCTTTGGTATTCATACATAGGCATATGGCACTGGGACTCGCTTAAGTACTTCAAAAGGATGCAATAAAAAAAAAAATGTACACCCCGCAGGCCGGAAGAGATAAAACATTCGGCGTCAGCTCTAGAAACTAGCCGAGATTGTCTTTCTTCATTAAAAACAATTTCTTACATGTAAAAGCTGTCGGGTCAGGGAGAGGGATCAGAGTGTTTCACATCCGCCATTTGCAGTTTGTTGGAGCTTCGCTGGCGTTCACTTTCAATTGCCTCGACTTACTGAATATAGGAGAGCGGCGCACACTGACAGGTACAAGTTACTCCAGCGACAGACGCTAATTAGCAAGTTGCGGCGTAATAGGAGAGCCGGGCTTGCTCGCTCGCTCTCTCTCTCTCTCTGGCAACTGAAGCAGGGTCATCTCTTTAAGTGTCTCACTTCCTATTAGACAGCAGATCTCTGGCACACGCCCCATCGCGACGCATGCAGAGTGATGTCAGTGACAGACAAAGGATCCTGTCACATCCTGTCGTTTTCAAAAGCGCCCGCCGCTCTTCGTGTCGCAGGCAACACGACTCATTCAACTGCGTTTACCCGCCGTTGCGCGTCTCCGTCGAGAGAATGAAAGGAAGGCAATAGAAACTAATGGCACATGATGTGTTTATGTGTTTGGGTGGGAACTCGAGGGAAAACCTAAGAAAGGAGATGATGGACTCATCTTCTGCTCAGCGAGGCTTTGACATTCTGCAGGGGATGCTGGAAACAGTCTCCAGGTTGATGGATAGGTGGACTGGGATTACCCGCCAGACTCATCTCCTCCTTCTTCCACCCCGACTGTCTGGCCTCGACTTCTGAAAAGAGACACGCACACAAAAAAAACAAAACACAGATAAGTTTGGGTTCTTTATAGCAAAGGACATGAAGAAAGAAACCTGAGTAAAAAAAGCAAATCTAACCTATTATGTAGGGGAAAAAAAACGTATCTGCAGTAGAGATTGCAGCCACATACACTGATGAAGCATCAGATTACGACCACTCACCCCTGCGGTGAGGTCGGTCTGCAGTGAATAACACTGATTATCTTTGAGCCATGACACCTATTAATGGATGGCATATATTAAGCAGCAAGTAGACATTTTATCCTCAAAGTTGATGTCTTAAAGGTAAGAAAGGCAAGTATGACAAGGGCAACTGTAACGGCAAGATGGCTAGGTCAGAGGAAACTGCAGCTCAAGTTGTTCGAGGAGGGAGCGATGGGGAAAACAGCGACGATGCCTCAGTAAACCCCAAAAGCCCCATGAGTCACATGATGAGCGAAGGCCGCCCCATGTGGTCCGACCCTACAGATGAGCTACTGTGGCTCAGGATGTTTAAGAAGTTAATGTTGTGATGATGATAAAGGTAATTCCCTGAATGCAGAGACTTCTTTCAGCAGGATAACGCAACCTGAGGAAAAACAAAAATAGTACAAGTGCATTGCAGAAAAAAGGCAAACTGATTGAGGTAGTGTGATGCTTTGGACGATGTCCTAGAGACCCTTGGGTCTTATTATCCATAGTTATGTCATTTTGTGACTTTGACATGGACCACCTGCCTCATTAAGACAGTATTCTCTGATGGCTGTGCGCTCTCTCAACAGGGTATTGCCCCAAGCTAAAACTGGTTGAGCAATGGTTTGAAGTGCATGAAAGTAAGCTTAAGATGTGCACCTGGCCTCCAGATTCCCCCAGATCTCAACCCAATCCAGCATCTGCACAGGAAAAAAAAGAGATCCAATCCATAGAGGAGCCACACCACAGCTTACAGGAGTTAAGACATCTGCTGCTGGCACGTTGGTGCCAGAAATCACAGCACACACTCAGGGATCCGGCACAGCAAAAGAGGGAGCGACACTCTTAGGCATGTTATAATGCTATGCCTGATTGGTGTGTGAAATAATTTGAACAAATACACTCCACACACATTTACCATCATGAAATTACCATCTACAACACCCCAACAACCAACACATCTCTTTAAATCAAGACATCCTCTCTGCGTGTCTCTCTGAACTGCTCCTTCCTCGTAGCCCATGCGGACCACCCCACTGAGAAAGAAATTGTTCTCCTTGCATCATTAAACAGTTTGAATTAACTCGGGTGGAATTTAATTGTGTCACACATGACGTCCCCCTACTTGAAGCTTTTAAAGGCAACATAGCTTAGCTACAGCTACAGCTATAGGCTCGGAAGTTTAACATTATTGAAACCAGTTTTAAATGATAACGGTCCAACCGGTCATCAGGGAGGCGATTCATTTCAGTTTCCAGATATTGCACATACTGTGTGTAATCTGAGAGGAAGTAATAATCTCTGACTTGGGATGGAGGGAATATCTGTTTGTGTTCCGTTCGGATGTCAGCTGTCTACACTCGTCCTCATTCCTTTGTCTTGTTCTTGTCTTGTCTCACCTTTTAAGAACTCGTTTCATAATCCATTCCAGTTATAGTTCGGTCAGGAAGCTGTTCATAGCACATAACTGACACTAATTATCATCCCTTTATTATATTTTACACATGAGAGCCGGTGCGATGCGCTGTAATTCTGAATGAAAACCCTACAGGCACTGCTAACTGCTTGAAAATGTCAAAACAAAAACTGACGCAGTTAGAGAGTCTGCCGTTGCAAACAATGGAAATCTCTGCAAATTACAAAAGCTGCCAGAAAATAATATCTGCTAAACGGAGATTCTTAAAGAAAGAAGAAAAAAAATGCACTCAGGCTTCCATTTGCTCCCTGTCAGGATGCAATCCGACCTGCCATCTTATCCATCACCCAAATGAATACAACGCAATTCTCACACATGCATTGTTCGTCACATTCAAATCCCTCAATGTCCCTCGAGAGATCGCTAAGTAAGAGTGTTTCAAAGTGGAATGGTTGAGTGAGAGAGGGTCAGAGGTGAAAAATGGAAATAATAAAAAACAAAAAAACCCTGCACTTTCACAGAGGTGCAGAGCTATTTGGAGTCGTCTAAAATAACTCTTCCAGGCGAAAGGACTCAAAGAATAAAATCCCTTCCAACATTTCCAACAATCAGCTTCTCTCAGTCAGGAGGAGCCAAAGCAGTCACGGCAGAAACAACGAAACCTCTGCCCTAACAACTCGGAGACAAGCTGATGGACAGATCCATTTAGTGCAGGTAAACCGGATTGCGGGCTAATTTACTAAGGATATAGGAGGCTGGTTACAAGAACGGTGCAATGGGTTTAATCTAACAAAGCGTTAAAAACCACAGTCTGTCCTCATTTACATCGAAATGAAAATTATTTATTTTTTTACCTCCACCAGTTGTCTAGCTCGGCTTAAAGCAAAGTGTACTTGTAAAAAAAAAATCCCCACCTCCGCAGCCATAGTTTTTGACTTTGACAGAAACAACAACAACAATCGGAGCAACTATCAAAGCCCGATGCCAGGCATCGCTCTGAGAAAGCAAATGACTGGGAATAACCTTGAAGACGAAGTCAGCATAATGAGGAAGCCGCTAAACTTTAGTGATACTTAGGAGAGGATTACCTGATGATGAAAAACACATCACGGCAGTTTCTCTGCACACAATGGATAATTACAAAGTATAATGCGCACCGCTTGCAGAGGATACACAAGCTCTGCCTTTAAGGATACATTTACATTTAAGCAGATACCTTTACAAGCCTGCAATGAAAACAGGATCCCAAGGGTCCAGCAGGACACGAATAGAGAGGTGTGGAATATATTTAAACAGTGGTTAGACTCATCAGCGTGGGAAGAAATATAATAGGCAATTGTTATTAGGCTCAACCACGCATGGAAATGCACCAAGCAAACGGTGGTGCTCCACGGTCCCATTGGCATTAAACTAGCAGGGGAGATGTTTACATATCACCAACGTTAGACATTACTATTCATAAGTGACACCTCCAATATAAACAATGCCATCATAGTTGTTTTGAAACCTCCCATTAGGGAGTCTGATTTCCTTAATGGAGAAAGAAATGTTCAGATCGATTGTCCAGATTTGCTAACTAAGGTGTTGGGAGAGAGGCTTTACCGACGAGAAGTATTTCACTTCATGGTTCAATCAAGTGATTTTGTAAAATTGTCAGAATTTTAGCAATAACTGACTTTGTGTTACTAGGATGTGCTATTTTCAGTTGTATATATCCTTTATTTAGCGGGAACAAACAATTCATTGAGATTAAAAAAAAAAAACTTTTCCAAGTGTGACCTGGCCAAGATGGCAGCAAAAGACATACAACAAATACCTGACGCAAGATACAAGACCAAATACACAACATACTGCATTTGGTAAAACAAAAACGTACTCGTTTCTGCCCGATAAATTCCAATAACTTTCTATAAGTTCCCTTAATTATAAAGAATATATTTCCGATGCGAAATATTTTCAAATTCTCCATCTTAAATGTCCAATGGGAAACTTCTGGAAAGGCTCCAGAAATCTATTTCTAAATCCATGTATGTGTCCTGAGTGGCAGTGGCTATGAACTCCAAATGAACCGTCGAGGCAGCGAAGCCCCAAAGCAGCTGCAGTCACTCACATTAGAGGGTGGTCTTCACTCAAGACTGACACTAAACTGTATGATGATGGTGCTTTTATAAGATCCTGGCACAAGAAAAGCTGCAACCGCTCCAGCTCTCTTTCTCCAGTCAAAAACAGAAATGCACGATATGTATGATCCAAACAACAGGGAGCCCAGTCTGACGCTTATGAGCCGATGCCAGGTGGGATCAGGACCAACCCAAAAAAATCATATAAAACTGTAGTTTGTATTTATTTATTTATTTTTTTATTGGGCAAATCAATTGTAAACATACAAAAAAAAAATACTGTAAAATGTTGCAATTTATCAAATCTCCATGGTGTACAACACTGCAGAAAATTGTTAATCTAATCCAAACGGTTTCATAATTTGCTTCTAAGGACCCAGAGATCCTTTACTGAAGAGTTTTATTTTTTAACAAATAGGGGGATAACATTCAGTAATGACCTGGCACAGGGCAGAAGAGACGCATGAACCTTTAGTTGATAATCTACTGTATGACAACTTTTCAACAAAGCCCTTAAAAATACTACTACTGAGCTGCAAACTGCATTATTTTTCATACATTTATTAAAAGAATCCACAACAAAATGCCTGCTAGAATTTGGGGCAGGCTTGCAGCGATATAATTGGTTCGTCACTTGAGTATTGGTCAAATACAGGACTGATAATGAGAAAATATACAGCGGAAGTCCAAAGAACAAAAAAAACCTTTAAAAGATGTTTTGGAAGCCGGAGAAACTATGGATCAAACACCGCTTTAAACGGCGGCGAAAGTCTCGCTCATTAGGAGGAAAATGTAACCGGAACAGGGGTGACTAGGGATTTTTGGCTTTAAAACAGGTACACACAGAGTACCTTGCGAAATCGTCTCACAGTTTGTCAAGTTATAACGACAGATTCTCATGGTAACTCAAGAGGAGCTACAAGGATCCGCAGCTCAGGTGGGAGAATCTGTCGAGAAAACGGCTCAGTGATGTAAGCCAGCAAGTTCTGCTTTTATGGAAGAATGCAACAAAAAAAAAAAAAGCTACAATAACCTTGATAATCTCTCCATCCAATTTGAATAAGTTTGAGAAGTGTACAAAGCAGAAAGGGCAAACGGCTTCTGTCTCTTTGTGTGTGAAACTTATAGATACAGCAGATACACGAAAAGCCTTGCAGCTGTTAGTGCAGTGAACGGTGATACGCGCCACACCTTTTCATTTGTATTCGCAAAAAATGTATGCATTCTTTTTCCCCACCCACACGCGTCCGTCCCTGTTCTGTGTCGGTCATAAAATCCCAACAAAACACATCTAAGTTTGTGTTTTGGCAAGTTTTCTATATGCCTCTTTGTTTGCTGAAGCCTGTAATGTAGCCGCTCCCGCATGTTTTGTGCCTTGGGTTGATATTGTACAGGAACATGAGAGAGGATGTGGCAGACAGTTACTGGAAACAGGAAACACTGTTGAAATATGTAGACTCTGCAGGAGCAGGTCTCTGCGGGAGAAAAAAAAAAGAAAAGAAACAGAAGGAAGAGTCCTGAGCAGTGATAATTCACATAGGTCACAACACATAACAATGATCACCGCTTGAATGATGGAGTAATGCAGCAGCTCCCGCTACAGGCCTTTCCACTTTATCCCAATAACACTAAGCCAGAGTGAGGCGTCTGACAGTTCATTCTGTTGCCACAGTGTTATTCGAAAGCAGCGGCATGTATCACGCACACACAAAAGAAAAAAAAAAATCATACCCCTTGATCTGTTTTTTTTTTTTTTTCCCCCCCTACATGGTATGGCCCAGCCTCTCTCTAAAAAACACTCTGCAGCCCCCCTGGTGTTAATTATGAGATCCCCTCTCTCCCTCCTTCGCCCCCCTCTGAGCCTGGGTGGGACGTGGAAGTGCATTAATCTTGATTTTTCACTTTAGACTAGAGGATCATTTGAAGAGACTCCTGTGGTAAACCCCAAAGGCGAGGTGACTCGGTACCTGAAGGAAGATAGCGGGATGAGAGAAGAAAGACTCCCCTGTTTGTTCAGCGCACATATTGGGATGCCGTCCACCTCTTCAGGCAAGTCAATCACTTACCTTACGGGCCTTATTTTGTCAGCGTGTTAATCTGGATGAATATTTAGAGTCACACAGGACGGCGTAGCAGACGTCTCCCACCTGTGTTGTGATGGATTTGCTCCCAGTTGCGGCGTGAAGGTGAGTGTCACCTTTTAAGATGAAATGAGCGAGAGCAAGTGACTTTGAGGAGTTCAGTCAAAGAGTTAACGCTCAGCCAGAGGCGCAGTTCAGCCCGACACCAACACACGATTCGCAGGGCTTGGGGTTCCTGAGAGCACCTTTTCTGATTTGCACCAAGTCTGCGTATTAAAGCTGTTGTTCAATTAAAAATACTTCTGTGTTATTAGATTACAGCCACTGCCTCGCCACGCTCTTATTAGCAGACTGCACAAACTAAATGGAGTGTGTTCAAGTGAATGCACAGGTCATTTTAGCAAATGAGAACAAAATGAGTTCCTTTTAACTAATGAACCAGTTGAGTGTTGGAAAACTTTTAGGATAGCATGTTCTTAATCAATTAAAACCTCATGTAAACTCTAAAATACATTAAAGATCTGCTGTTGTTGTTGTTTTATTAACCTTTCAGACCTAATAGTTACAGTCTACTCTGCAACCCCAGAATCAGAACCAAACATGGAGACGCACCGATCAGATTCGATGCACCACAAATCTGGAACAAACTTAGAGGAAACTGCAAAGATGCTGAAACACTGAGTTCTTTTAAATCAAGATGTAGAGTCTTTCATAAATTTGGGTGTAATATGGATCAGAACGAACCTTCACGGCTGGTTTTACTAAACCAAAGTGTAGCTTTTGATTCTGCTGACCGCTGAGATTTGAATATTTATAATGTTACTGAATTTTGTTAATTAGCCATTTTAGCAAGTGTTTTATTACATTGCCAGTTTCCTCAGTTTATCGTCTTCTTTGTTAGCTTGCTTTAATCATCTGAATGCTTTTTCTACCTCCACCACCTCTACAAAGGATTCTTTATTACACTTGTCTGTATAAAAAGTGCCGTACAAAAATAGATTAATTTGCTACATCTCAGTTGTGTGCAGCACAAAAAAAACTTTCAGTCCTAATTCACTTTCTAACAATCAGCCGCTCTGAGCACCAGATTGTTAAAGAAATAGTGCCATGTTTTTATTTTTTTTATTGTGATGCTTCTTCCTCTTAAGTTAATGAAGAAGCTCTGAGGCGCAGAGCATGCATGTAGAAATATGGCCATTGCAGCTTGCTCCATCTGCATGTGTGCAAATTTCTCTCCAAGTTTCATGACCACGCTACGATGCTTGCAGACTTCAGGAAGCTAACCATGAAAGTTCTGGGCAATATGTTCTGCATATTCCCATCACAGTGGGGAGGCTGCTCAGTGGTTAGGTTTTTTTTTGTTGTTTGTTTTTTTTTGCCAACTTTAAATTTTCCTGTGTGGAACAAATCCTCTTTGATAGGCCACAGCTTTGTAAACAATATGCTGATATTAGCTTCTAACTAATAAGACTTCAACCTGTCTGCCAGGTATATAGTGCTTGATGTGAAAAGTTTTTAACACCCAAGAGAAAACTCACTTTTTTATTTTACGTTGACAAAGCAACAATCACACATGGATTTGACAAGTTTTCATGAAATGTCCTTTTCATCCAGAGGCACAGAGTAGACTGCTTGAGAGAGCAATGTTAGACAACGCAACTTCATATAACAATAATAACAGTGAATGCTATCATTAAAGCTGGAGATTTAATACAACTATTGACTTTCTGCATGTGTTCCGTCCATCCGTACAGGAGATACTTGTTTCATCCGATCATATTTCTGGATCAAGATGTGGGATCTTGTACTTTAGGTCATGATCCACATCTCATGATCATGTAAAAAAAAAAAAAAAAACATTTGTGGACACATTTGACTGTACAGAAATCACATAGCTCTTGAGCCTCCCGCAGTCTTAGTGCGACGCTCAGGAGGAAAGCAACAGATGTCGCATTCGGACAGCGGGGTTAGCGCCCAGGGTGTCCCGTCAGACCGTCAGTTTCCAAAACCACACACACAAAAAACAGAAAACTTGAAAAAGTGCACAGGGTATAAAGCTTATGGGATTCAATGGACCCCCATCTCTTAAGTCTGCAGGAGGGTTAAAAAGATCAACTGCATTTTGTAGCCTTGCAACACCACTCAAATGAAACGCGGTCAAAAGACTTTCGATGTTGTACTGGACCGACAAAGTCCCATGATGCCCTCACCAAGTCTTCAAAGACCCTGAGCTTGTTCTCCAAGGCCATGAGGAAAATCACACAACTCTTCCTGAATCTAAGCCTCGACAACGAGAGTCAGAGCCTCCTTTCCGACACCTAGTAAGTATGCTTTCTCTGCAAGGCGGAGAAGTGTGATGCCTCGATGGTTCAGAACACAGTCTCCTGTTCCTAATCCAAAGTACTGGGGCAAACACGGTAGTATGCCAGTTTTCTATAAGTTACCTTGAATTTGAAATATGGAGGCTAAAACAAGCAAAGGTCAATATGCTACATACAGTAAGTCTAGGAATCCTTTATCCTGCTAGGTATAACCCTATTTTGAGTTTGCAGGGTTTTTAAATCTTTTATATGCTCCTACCGCTTGCAATCCGGTCTCATGTCCACTTTCCAGTATACTCACGCACTTCTTTTTGTACACTCATGTATTTCAGCGTCAACACACCGCTGATTTTGTATCTCCCCTCTCATCTGCAACATGAGTAATCTATAATGGTTAATTGAGCCCACAGGCAGCTGGTTTCAGTGAAGGCTCCTTTGCCTTTCTGGAAAAAAAACAGGACCTCTCTAGAGAAGTCAGCTCTCTGTCGAGAGGCAAACGGAGCAGAACTCTCGCTGCGTTCATTAGCTGTCATTGATCAGGGATCCAGTCACTGTGCAACTCCTATCAAAGCTCCCATATTGCCAAGTTTCATCCCCTTAAAATACTACAAAGGCAAGAAAAAAAGTAGATCAGGCATGATACGTTTTATATTTGATTTTTTTTTTTTTTGACTGGATTATTTGATGTAGATGTTTGCCAAGGTTTTCAACAGCACCGGACATTGCTACACAGCACAACTGTCCATTGCAGTTTGTTTTTGATTAAATATGAGCTACTACATTTGGTTATTAGCTCCACTGAAAGCCTATCCTTGTGTAACCTCACAGGAGGGGAACTCTTGAACGAGTTTTTGACTGGGGAAAAACAAGACAAAGAACACGATATGATCCGACATATTGGTTTATGGTGAATAAAACATTGGTTCTTTATAACCTGTAGAATAGTTTAATAGCATTTTATCTATTTGATAAAATGCTCTTAGGGAGGTATTTTTCAAATTAGAAGAATTTGAAAAATACTTCCCTAAAAATCTTCATGGTGCACACTTTAGTAGAAACCTCGTAGGGCTGCGGTAATTCAGTCGAATTGAATATTCCTCTTAAGTTTTTATTTTGACTGTGGTCATTACACGTTTTTATCTCTCTCTCTATATATATATATATTTAAGACTAGAATCATTTGAGCATCTGTCCCAAAATTACACTGTTTACAACAAAACATTTCACTTTCTTAGTCGCCTGCATCTCAGATACTTTTTCAAAGTGTCCAACTCCAGTCCTGGAGGGCCAGTGTTCTTCAACTTTTATGTGGGCCCCTCTGTCAACAGTTAATGACCTGCTGATGACATAATTCAGGTTTCAACGTACCTGAATTATGTCATCAGATGGATTCTGTAGAATTTGGGTGCATGAGGAGGTAATTCAGGGATTTGATTCAGGTGTGCTGGATGTCAAACACAAAAGTTTCAAGACATGCGCTGCCTTGAGGATTGACACATCATCATCATCAACCTATGTGACTATGTCCGTCAAAATGTCCTGTGATTTACAGATTATCTTCATCCCAACCCTCAATCTGTGGGCGCAAAGACAATGAAACAAAAGTCTGGTCTAAAAGGGGCTTTCAGCACCTTTCACTGTTATTGTATCACCAAAAAACCTCACGTCCCATTGATTACTGTACATCTGGCAGCTGCAGCTTCTTAAAATACACTTAGGTTAGCTTTCCTTGCATTCTACCATTTTTGTATGTCTCTCGTCCCTGGAGAATAGCGCACCGAAGCACAATGCTGAATGTACTGAGAAAACTGTGACAGAGCAAAGCCTGAGCCGTGACAAGCGGGGGGGCGGGGGAGTATAACAATGAGATGTATTCTCAACATGACAGGCCAGAGATTAAGTGAATATATAAGAGCAAAATGAATCGATATTTCCCATATTTGCCAAAGAACCTTCCAGGGGGCCGTTATGCAGCACTAATTGTACCTATAGGGGACATTTTCTAATGCAATCAGCACTCTCATTGGAATTCACCGAAACTCTTCTGGTGGACAACCGGGATCACCCATGCTGCTCCTTATTTCACTGAGTTCCCTTTATTCCCTTTATGCCGATGTTTTCAATATTTCTTCTCTACTCATTTGCAGCGATCTCAGGCCATGCCAAGGCTCAGTATGATTCCCTTAATATATAATTAGATTAAAGAGGAAATATGAACCCAGGGATTTCCCTCCATCCATGTTCTTACACTTTGTCCCCAGTGAGGGCAGTGAGGGGTGCTGGCATTCGGGCGAGAGGCCGGGTTTACCCTGGACAGGTGGCAAGTCCATAGCAGAGATTTCCATCCACTTCATAAAAATATAGCAGTGAGTTTTCTCTGCCCCATGTTACATGCAGGATATGTCTTCACTTCAGATGATAGAATGTGTTCAATTTAGTCTTGAAGAATGTTTATCTGGTATTTAAGAAGTTTTAACACTTGATTCTGTTGGGATGGATCGACCCCTTCGTTGTAGCGAAGTGTGTATCCTAATCCTGTCCTTAACCCGAAAGAAGACTTTTGGGATGACTTGGACCAGAGACTGCGACTCAGGCCTTCTTGTCCAACGTCACCTTGTAAATAGACTCATGTTAGAGTGGTCAAAAAATGAACACACACATCACTAAACCTTGTGAAAAGCTGTCTCAGAAGAGTTGAAGGTCTTAGGGTGGGCAGACAATATAACCTTAGGGATTAAGTAAGAGATGCAACTTTGTATAATCTGTCATTTTAGCAGCAGTAGGAATAAATGCTGCTGTTCTAACTAAGCTAGATCTTGTTAGCATATTTGCTTTGACGCATCTAATGTGACGCCATGGTATTTTTACCTAAAGTTAACATGCTGTGAAAATCTAATACTATTAGTGAGTTATAGTTAAAACAGACAACATGGACAGACCACTAATGTTGACAGCGCTGTGCATCAAATATCAAGTGACCTCTTTAATATGTGTCTGCATGTGCTGAAAGTAATAAAACAAATTTTTTGTTATTCCTAAACATCAGTCACATGTGAACATGTATCGATAAGGAAGAGGTTTTTGTAGCCAAAGTGCTTCCTGACTCTGAAAGGACTTAATTAAATGCAGAGCCTTTATTAAATAAGATATGCTGCACTCTGCATAAATGCATAAATCAATAGCAAAACTGCCACAGAAATATTAGAATAATTGATCCGGGGTGATTCAGCAGCAAGGAGGTCCAGGGGCTTGCAGGATATTAGCTCGACGTAATAATCTCGGTGAAGGTCAGTGGATACTCCAGTAATGACAAATGTCCTCTCTTTGACTCCTGCTGGTCAGACTTTATTTTGGCTGGTTACAGGAAATTACTTTCTGCACCTTTCATCTTGTTCCACTCACTGTGTAAGCTGCAGCTTTATGGCAATGACCAATCAGGGTGTCATAAAAACAAGCTGTAACTGTCCCGACTCGTCATAAAAAACATTCACTCAACTGACGTCAAACTGCTGGTTATTAAAGTAAGAATTAGAGGCTCGGTGAATACCACACAATACCGGCACGAGTGACCTTGCAAAACTTCTGCCTGTGGCATGTCTGAGGAAGATCAGAGAGTTAAATGTACCACTTTTGTACTGATAAAAATTGTAGTTAAGTTTTTCTTCTCAACACATCTGCATCAATTCTGGAGGAACAGAAATGCTAAGTCCTAGCAATAACTACAGTTCAGAAATGCAAACTAATGACATGTACAACCTGCAAACTTTAATAACTGCAGATCTCATGCCACCACACTGAGCGACATAGTTTATTAATAGGGTCTTTATCAAAGCAGCATAAATATTAATATATATTTATGCAAAAATGAAGTCAAAAGTGTGTGAGGTTTTTTTGTTTTAGCTTGGACTTTTCTTCTGTGTTGCCAATCTGCTGAGGATGACGAGGAACCGGGATGAAGAGACAGCAGTGATGAAGGTTTATTATTAGGAGACAAGAAACAAAGTTGGTCAGTGATTTTTTTTTTTCTTCTTCTTTAAAAGGTCAGAGTGCTTGAAAGCATTCTTCTTTTTTGATACTGGTTACTTGCAATGAAACGCATACCATCATTGCTTTGAATCAAAAAAATGCATCACAGTCAATAAGTTGCTTATATTAAATCTGCACCTAAATCAACCGTTTATCAAATCATCAAGAACTACATGGAGACGCTTCAGGGAGCCCAAAGGGTTAATGTCTGCACTGCAATGGCAGCAGGCAGCAGGATGCTTTCATGGCTCCTAGAAGGGCATTTAAGAGGCGACCACTCTCCAAGAGAAACATCAGAAACAGACTGACGTTCTGCAGGAAGCAGGAGGATTGGATTGAGGTAATGGAGGTCCCAATGAACTGTCCATCAGATGACTGGGAAAAGGGACTGTCAGGACAAGGTGAGGAAACGCAACTCTGAAGTTTGTGTCATGTAGAGAAGAGAAAAAAAAAAAAAAGACGGGCGATTAAGTGGCGCAGGGATCAAAACGCCGACGTTTCAGTTTCATGAGAAAATAAAAATGCCCAGATCACGATCCCAATTTCCGCTGTTTTCAAGAAACAAATCCCAACAACACTGAAGCAGTAAAGGTTGCAAAAAAAAAAAGCAAAACTGTTAATCATTCGTATAATATAGTGGGGGCCGTGCGTTTCTCGAACTGACAGATTTATTTGCACATGTTGAAACGGTCAGAAAATAGTCAATAGAGCAGATATCGACTATCTGCACTCTGGAGAAACCAAGAAAGGCAGCATTAAATGTGTCAAATATACCAGGCCACTAATTGTGGGCTTGTTGTATACAGGTCAGGCTTTAAGGTGCTTTTCTCAGGGTTGAGGAAAAAAAAGGAAGTGAGAGGAACTGCTAGACGTTTTCTTCAGTAGCGCCCAGAAACAAAAATGTGTCATTTTTCTTTCAGGGTTTCAAATCACAAAACCTTGGTGCAGCCGTCTAAAAAGGAGCAGAGCTCATCTCTCTCTTTTTAAGGTAACTCATAATTATGAGTGTTTAAGCAGCAGTATATATAATTAATGGAGGGTTATTGTGGGTTTTTTTTTTTAAGGGAAGCAGTTAGATTAAGCCTCAAGTGTTTCAGAAACTTACATTTTTTTAAAGTAAAAACCATAACAATGAAACCATCGGTTATATTCACATGATAATCACGTTTACCAGGAAATCCTTACAAATGAGCAATTTTCCACATTTCTAAAAAATGTTTTAGAGAGAAAGTCCGACAGCCTGTGCGACTCAAACCCAACCTATTTACCATTAATAAGACCCTGACCCCGGCTTTGACTGGACTAGGAAAAGCCTAACGGATAAAATGAAGCAGATATTTCATATCAGACAGTGACCTTCTGATTTCTGAAATGATAATGTCAAGACTTGTAATATCTCCATACTCTCTAAAATTAATGCAGCCTATCTTCATTACAGCAGCACTTACCAATAACCTCCAGTGTGTGTGTGACACTGTGTCCTTCAAAGAATTCACACAGAACGTACAAGACGTTAATGACAACGGAGGATGAAGAAGGAAAAAAAAAAAAAGCTGTCACCACAGCAACACATGCATTTGCAGAAAGAGACTGAAAACCGACACGCACCTTCACTCTGTCGTTCTTAGCTCTTCAGTGGCGTCATCGCTGGAGAAAGCAAGAAAAGAAAAAACACACACACACACACACACACACACACACACATTAAGACATGATTTCAAAACATCACAAACTGTAAATATTTACATTGAGAATAAAACAGAAAGATGCGACGATAGGGCGTCCTTCGTTGCACACTACGATGCGGGCCTAATTCTGTTTCACAACCCCTCCCTCCCCGCCGCTCCGTCTCTGCTCACCAACGTCGCCGTGGCTAACAGGAAGCAGAGGGCACGACGTTTTATTTAATTAGTCACAGCAGCTGAGTGCTCATGTGGAACCAAACAAGAGAGGTAGATTGGGGTAGTGAGATGGATAGGCACACTCCCACCGGGCCTTGGCTGGGTTGTCAGAGGAGCACCGATTACATGACAGGGAGCGGGGCTGGGGGAGGGCGATGGCTGTGGTAGTGGGTGTTGCTTGGCAAGAAGATGAAAATGGAGCTTGTACAGGGTGAAGGAGGAAGGAAGGGGGGGGGGGGTTTCATCCCAGAACATGGATTGCCTTTAACTCCACAAGTATCCAAGCCCTCCCTCAAAAGCACTCGCCGATGGTTTTGTCTAATACACCAACCAGCTGCCTTCGACTGCTTTTATTAACTGTGACAATGCTCATTATTCTAAATGATTTAGAGGCTATCTTTTATTTTTATTTTTTATTTTTCCTCCCGTCTCGTCTCAAGCTGACCCGTTGGCCTTTTCCTCGTGGACCAGAAGATGACCCCTGCAAGGGGCGCAGGAGTAGCTCAACGCGCGGCAGGTGCCTGATGAGCGTCTGAGTCCAAGAGAGGAGAAGTGTTTCTCCAACAACCGGCTCGATCAAACACAACGAAAAACATCAAGAGGCGTCACGCGTGGGGAGAATCTGTTAGTATGCGATCGGCTCATGCGGTGTAGATTAAAAATCGTCTGAGGCATGTGAATAAAAGTTTCTGTGCTTATTACTATCCAATGGACGGCGCAAGAAAGACCAGCAGGCTCGCACACGAATAAAACATGCTCCTCTCGGTGTGGTGCAGAACCGCACCAGGAATGCGAACGGTGAGCTTATTATATGTGCAAACCGCTAAGCAGTGGTGTTCGGGGAGATCTGTTAATTAGCACTCCTGAAGATATCCAGTGACCCACATCTAATAGTGAAGGGAACACAAATGTTCTATTTACATATCTTTAGTCGGTAATGTGCGACCACGGGGAGAGCCCGCTTGTTCGGCGTGTAGTGTCAATGAAAAGAGAAAAGAAAGTTAAGCTGAGCTACCTGGGACGCTTTCCAGGGACTTCTCCAACTGAACTGTGGCTTTAGCGCTTTAATTGGTGCGTTTGCAGCCTGAACAGAGGCAACAAGAGAAAAAAAAGTCCTTTTTCTTTAAGGGTTTCATGCTGTTAAGTCATACTTTACGCCTCTCGTTCCAACGGTTAAGCCATACATTATTCAGGTGTGTTTTCATGCGGTACTTTTATTTCCATCTCTTTGTAAGAATACATCAAACAGGTGAAACAAATGAGCCCAGATGTAACTTAGGCAGAGCTGTTCATCCCCTCTGTTATTGTTGTTGTTTTTTTTTTTAAATCTAAAAATCTACAGCATTCGTCCTGATTGCCTGCCAGTCCTCGGGCTTTAGTGCGATTTGAGCCGGTGCTGTCTGCCTTCCAGCGGTGGCCTCGGCATTAAGGAGTCAGAGACGAGCGCCGGCCGGGGCTGCTAATGCCATAAGCTGTGTGAGGCTTGATATTCCATAACCTTCCACCTACTCAGGGCCTTGCCTCAGTTAAGATGGGTTAATAAAACTGGTTTTACCGCTCTGCTCTCCTTTTCAGAGGGCATGTTAAATTGCTCTTTTACCGATGATTCTGTGTCTGTGAAAGAACTGGGTCACTCGCGCTCCCTTCCACGGGGAAGTGCACACAAACTGAATTCAGATTCTGATAGGAGCCTCGCTTCCTAAACAACGTGACACGCTCAGGTTATTGGACGCGTGGCTGGGAGAAGTTGCGGGTTGGGGGAGTAGTGGTGGGGGGAAACGAGAGGCGTATGCTGCATGACTTTGCATGTGCATGAAAATTAGCGATAGGAGTCTCTTTCTGGCCGCACGTCTTGAGTGCCCTTCCTACAATCGACTGTGCGGTTGTGGGATTGCAAAGTGCTGTGCCTGGAAATATAGACGGGAATGTGAGCTACAGTGTTTGGTAAACATTATTTGCCTCTGCTGTAAATGCAACAAAGGGATCTCATCCCGCGGCAAACGGATGAGCACAGGTCCCTAGTTATCACTGGTTATTGTTCCAATCAGGCCGGCTTTGAAAGGGGAAAGCGCACTCTCCTTTGGACAGCTCATTAAGATAACACACAAACGTGGCTCCCCATCATCCAGGGTTTATTAAAGTGAGGCTCATTTTAGCTCCTTTGTCTCGCGCAGGAACCTCTGGCTTTGTCAGCGCAATTGAAGCCAGATGGCGAAACAAAGCTGCCTGTCTGAATCGCTTAGAGAGTGATCTCAGAAGACAGAGCCATTAGCTTGACTTCACAAGCTCGCCGCCCACAGTGTCCACCTGGTTCCAGCAGGTGCGTGCGGGGCGACGAGAAGGAGCACGGGGTTTGGGGGGGGGGCACGCGTGGTGACGTTGCGTGGCGTCAGCGGCGTGCGGGCGCCTTTAGCTACGGCTGAACTATGTTAAGTCTTACTAGTTGTGGGATGGCTGACCCTGCTCCTGGCTGCACAGACTTCCCCTCTGAAACATTCATGAGAGAGCAAGCGGAGAATAAAAGCCATTGTCCCCCTTCACTCACAGACTCTCCTTCACCTCTTGGCTTATTAAAATCACATGGTATTAACTTTGGCGTTCACCGAAAGGCTAAATAATTAAATCAGAATTTAAAAAAAGAAAAAAAAGCAAGTCAAATGAATAACTCTAATGACATTAATACTTGAGGGAGGACTGCTCCAAGACCGCGAGGGTTGGTCACCGAAGCTAGTAATGCAAAAGAGGCTCGCCCTGAGTGCTAATGGAAAAATTAATTCAGGACTCATAAGGTCATATTTCTGCCAAGCAAAATATCACAATCACCCTAATCATGCAAAAAGAAGCACACAAAGCAGTTTCCTGTCTCGGTTCAGCAGCTCTCCTAAGAGGCCAAATGTAAATACTCAGCAAATCAGAGATTTGAAAGGAGGATTCTGTTTTCATGATGAGAGTTTAAATTAGATGTTCTTCTTCCTTTGGCTATAAGGTAAACTGCTGGCAGAGGCAAAACGCCACAAGGGAGAAAAAAGAAAAAGGGAGTCAGATTCTGGGATGAGGAGTCAAACAGAGTGAAAGAAGACGGGATTAGTGTGTTGCCTTTAGTGAAATACGGTAAACGTTTCTCCTTTCAGTGAAACTGTCGGACAGCTGGTTACGATTTGTTTTTTGTGACAATGTTGACATCAAAATTCTCCACTAATCCCAATTATAAAAATTTTACTGGACTTCTTTGTTGCTTTGCACAGCTCTAATGAAAGAACTGGGAACATGTTTTAGAGGCTGGAAATTATCTCCCTGAATATTTTATGTGTCACATTGGACATATTAAAGCACTTCTCAAGCACAACAAAACCAAATAATCATCTGCCAAAACTTTTGGAGGCTAGCACAAAATCACAACCAGATGAAGACAAAAAAAAGCAACAAAACAAAAAGTTAATCTTCATTTGCCTTTTTATTTTCATTTGAGTAAGCTGCTGCATTTCTTTAAAATCTGTGTCTGTAAAGCTACAGCTCTGCTAACCCTTTTCATATAATTGAATTTAAAGAAAAATCCAATAATGTGGAACACCTTGTGTAGAATTTGTCACAATTAACCACACTGGGCAAATAGATCTAGTGTTGTGAAAATATTTGTGTTGATACTGATCAGTGGCAAATTAGCAATCTCAAAGAAAGCCCCAAATAACGATATGAAATGAGCTTGAATTGGGTTTTCTGCCCAATACAAGCTGAAAACATTCAGTCTTGATCTAAAATAACTTCCAAACTAAATAACGTGATGATGGTTTGGTCAGTCAATCATACTTTCATTTTCAGTCAGTGGGTTGTTGGTCCAATCAGTCCTAACTGGTGAAGTGGCGATTTTTGGAGGGACAGACATTAAGAGGTGCAAACGACTTCATGAGAAGGAAGTTCATGTCATGAACTTTAGTTTTTACTTTAAAGACAGCTATCCTACTAGAAGATGTGTGTTGTTAAAAAGCTCATGGCTTGGGATTTTGTTAGCTGTTTTTTTTTTTTTTTTTTTTTTTTTTTGGAAAGGATGAACTCGGTTCTCAGCCTCTGTTTTTCTCAGGAGATTCTACTGCTGGAGGAAATGTCTGGGTCAAGTAAGTTGTATGCAAGTGGAAATGTTTTATTTTTGGTATTTATTTTTTATTCACTTAGCTTCAAAAAACAAACAACCTCTAGAACAAAGGCAGCTATCTTAAGGCAATGCGATTATGGGTTATTCTTCCAGCCATGTTTATGTGGTCAGGGGCAGCACCCAGTCAGTGTTAAAACACACAAGCCTTCTAGCCACTGGCTAATTTGCAGATAAATCCCTGGTTGAGCTCCTCAGTTCCTGGTTGGGCTTTCTGGTCAGTGGTTTGGCTTTTCCCCGTCTGATTTGGCTTTTCTATCGACAGATTCATCCAAAAAGACAGATGGGTTCTGTTTGAACTGAGCATCAATGGTGGGTAAAACTAATTACCTTTTGCTGCAGCCTTATTTTATTGTATTTAAATGGTCACAGGTTTTTTTATTTGCAAGGCAAATCTACCTAATCGAACTAATAGTCAGCTGAGGGTTAATTAAGTGTTTGTGTAGCATTTTCAAAAATAAAATAAACTATTTGTAATTTATTTGGTTGTAATTGTGCTGTGATTATCAGATTTTTTGCAAACTAAGTGCTTAATCAAAGGAAGCATGAGTCTGAATAGTTTTGTGTGTCCCTGTTTCCATGGTGACCCGTTTCCATGGTGACCTCCGGCACATCACCAGACCCAACATGTATCTACAATACTTAAGACCTCAGCAGGACAATTAGCAGTAGCTTCCCTATCTTTCATTAGATGATGAAATGCTATTGCCAAACTTTGCCAAAGTAATATTTAATGTCTAATTATGTCTTTCATAAAGCTGTTAATTTATTTAACCAAGCAACAGATTATTGAACTGTCCATAAAGGTTCTCCTCCAACACTTCATATGCTGAGTATTAAAGTAAAGCAGCAGTCAGAAGCTATGCAGGAGCCATTATTGTATGTTCAGTCATAATAAAGACAAAAACAGCCAAAACATGTCTCTAACGTTGCAGCCAGAATGACAAAATACTGCCGTCATAGAAACTGATTTGTGAACTGGATCTCAAACGTCTATTAGAGTTTAAGTTATTACCATTAACTACACAGAAAAGGCAGCATTTTATTCTCTGTGTCTCTTTGTTGTTCATTAACTAGTTTCTTGGAAATGTTAAATTAAACAGAATTCACATTTACAAATTGAAAGAGTCAACAGTCTGTTTTTTTTTCCTTCTCTTCTCGCATGATTTCACATTTTACATGGGATGTTTTTCTGCATCTATTAATTTGCTTTTCCAAGCAGAGATCAGCTCAGCCTTTCCAGATGACAGGGCTGGAAACAGTAGATCGAATCACTTACCTTGTTGTATTTTTATCCTCTGAATCATTTTTTTTTTCCTCAATCAACCATATAATCTGGATAATCAATCAATCAAGTGTTTTTGTAAAGTATATTTAAACAACAAAGCAGTTCAAAGTGCTTTACATCATAAAAACACAAATAAGAAGTGACAAAAACATCATACAGTCACCAATCTGATCAAAAACATCAATATAAATCATATATGTTGGTCATTGTTCCATTAATTATGGTTCAAAAAGGTGAGTTTTTAGTCTTGATTTAAAGGAACTCGGTGTGGACCAGAACCAGAAGACAAGTGTTTCACTGGTTCCTACAGTGGAAAGAAGTCAAGCAAAGTGGTCAACAATAAATGTGAATCTTAAATGTTTTTGTTTGTTTCTCTTTGCCCCATCTCACACCACGCAAAGTCTGGGTTGTGTAAATGTAAGAATAAGTGGACGAAAGTCGTAGAACTTTGATCAGGTGCCCTTCAGCTGCAACGCCGCATGAGAAAATGAGACTTGACCAGGTAGGAATGGACTGACCTGTCTTCGATTCCTCTTCTTCCAGCTCCTTGGCCTCCTCGGCTGTGGGGAGACAGAGGTTCCATTATCAGCGGGAGCCACAGCACAAAGCCGGGCGCACCATGGCGTCACTTCATTGCAAGTCAACAGCGAGCGGATCCTTCACAGCTCGAAGGACAAGCTGTGATAAAAAGAGCTATATGGCGATGATGCCGTCACACAATGCTTCCCCATCACATCACACACACACACACACACACACACACACACACACACACACGCGCGCACACACACGCTGAGTCACGTCCAGCCTTTAACCTCCTATCCAGCACTTTCACAAAGACTCTAATCACATTAGACTTTAGCTGCAGGCTTTCAGAAAACCCACTGTCAACATAGTAAGGGGGGGTAACCCAAGTAGTGATGGCTGTCACGGGACATCCATGTGGATACGGGCTAAAAATATCCACCTGCATGTGTTCAAGACATGGATCTGCATCCTCTGTAGCTTCAGAATAAACTCTTTACAGAGCAAAACTAACTGCCAGAGCAACTAAATTTATGTGTTTTAACGCTGACGCATTTTAGCGCAATCTTCCTCGAACTCCGACTGCCGAGACCAGGGTCCTCTTGGGAAATTAATAAAAGAAATCTTGTTATGAAATCGGCAGCACAAAGTGTTGCATTTCAAGGTTCAAACAGCCTGCGCATGTATATATTTAAAGCGCCTTCCACTGTATGAAATCGTTACCTCTCAACATTAATATTGCAGGTCTATGGATTCTAACGTGCAGCTATGCAGTTCTCACTAACAATGACGCCGATATTATATTTGCAACTTTAATGTAAAAAGGAAGCAAAAATATTTTGTGGAGAAGAAATGAATGCAAAACCGCCCTGCGCAGACACTGCTTCACAAACTCGGTATTGCAGTGTAAAATTACCGCAGATGCATGAAGCCTTTTTCGCTCCGCCAACCATCTTAACAGTGTGGCAGTGGCAGAAGCACCTCAGGGGAAGACGCTTTGACAGGAGAGTGACGCTCATTTAAAGGCACCTTAAGGTCAGGGTGAATATGAGGGCAGCCAGAGAGAAGTGACTGAGAGCTGCCTCCGTCGTACACAGAGTGAAACAGCTTCAAACCCCAGCTGGCTGCATTTACAACATGTGGCGGCGAGAAAGAGGGCAGCTACTGCTTGAGTGGGGAAGATGGACGAAATGCTAAATAAACAAACGGAGAGTTAGAGGAAGGCTGCATTCTTCTAGCTGAAGCCAGAAGAATGTTAATGTTTTGTGTCGTCCTGCGTTCTGCGTGTGATTTTTATTTGTTGACATTAATTTATGTAGCTTTCTAAATCGGTGCCGTATAGATTTCTTCACAAACTTCAAGTTCAACCCTAGAAAATACTAAATATGGTAGGAAACACACCGCGCCTCACCCTGAGCACATCGTCTCAACAGTTAAACGTGGTGGTGGTCTCATCATGCTGTGGGACTGTTCTTCTTCATTAGAGACACGGGAGCAGCTCAGAGTTAATGAGGAATATGGAATGGACTAAATACAAGGTAATCGTGAAATAAAACTTGTCAGATGTTGAAAAGGTTTACGATTCAAGATCCAGTAGAGTAATGCATTTCTAAACACACAGACAGAAACACACTATATCAGGGGTTTAAACTAGAGGTCATTTAACATTGTTTTAAGTCACAATTTTAGATATTAGAAAAAATAAATTCTAATATCTAAAAATAGAAGTGAAACTGCTCATTCTTGATTTAGTCACAGAACAACACATTTTTCTATGGTAAGTAGTCCAACTCGTCCTGTGAATTTGTGGTCCTGAACGTAATGTTTTTGGTAGGACAAGGCAGAAATGACTCTTAAAAGTGAAGGTTGCTGATCTGTAGTTTAAGAATATCCATGTCATCAAACGGCCTCTTCAAAATCCAGACCTGAATCAAACTGATCGTTTGGGACAAGACTTGAAAATCGTTGTTCACAGATGCTCTCCTTCATATCTAACTGAGTTTGAATTACGTTGCAGAGGAAATTAGGCAGAAATGTCACTCTCTACACACGGGAAAGCTGGAAGAGAGATACCCACAAAGACACTGAGCTGTAATTGCAGCAACATATGGTTCTATAAAGTACAGACAACGATAGGCCTGCCACGACAACAAACTGTGTTAGACGATAAATTGTCCCAGAAGTCATTGCGATAAATGATAATATTGTTGTTTTGACATCATATCCAAGTAATATAATGGTAATGGTATAATAGTGCAAGAATATATTCTCAGATTTCATTAAACATTAAATTCTAATGAATATTTTACACTGGGACTGGAAGTTATTTTAAATGTCCAAAATAAACAAACAAAACAACAGAGAAACAACAAATACAATGAATTTATGAATATATGAAAAGGTCTGGTTTAGACCAAAACACCAGACTGAAGACCTTTATCAGTTTTTAGTAGAGAGAGACAGAAAAGAACAAACAATAAGTCATGCAAATGGAAATTACTGAGCTAGTGTTAATTTATCATGTGATTATTATTGATTTATTGCTTACAGCGACAGGCATAGATATGAATTTCAGATTGTCATTTGTAAATAAGTCTTAACACAATAACAAAGGTCGAAAGAAAATGGAAAAAGTTCAAACGATGAAAACGTTCAATAAGTCTGAATGCTGTTATAAGGCCTTGTGTACCGATTTGAGGTTTGGTTAATTATTTCCTGCACCACAGACACACATAAACATATACGTATGCACATTAGGACACAAAGCCTTATGAATCCTGCAACTGAGCAGCATGTCTGAATAATTATATACTTTTCAAAACCAGCTCTTCGTACACAAAGACATAATCGTGTGTTGCTTTCCTAAAAAGCTTTTTTTTTTTTAGCCAGTGTTGTGGTCGGAAACGACACAAACGACCAATATTAGTTATTCCATTTGAGTCGCATGCACACACAGCTGATCAATGATAGCATTTGGCCCGAAGCAAAGCTTATTTACCAAAAGGTTAACCTCTGTGAAACATGTGTGCCCCATTGTTAAAAGCCCACAGCGGGGCGCAGGGAGCGGGGTGGGGGGGAAACACAGCCTCCGATATGAGCTGTTTTTCTCACATGGGGGGGCTGGGGGGAATCTGTCCCATGTCGATTCTGCATGATCCCAAGAGAAGGTTTGATTAAATCACATGCTTGTCTGAATGTAAAAAGGGCTTAGGAGTGATGGATGACTGACTTCGGTGAGGGCCAGCGGAGGCATGCGCAGCCTCCTTTACACAGTCATTATATAAAGATGTCCAAGGAGGTAATAGAATATCATAGAGAACAGAGCCATGCTGGCACTCAGACACACACCGACACTGACTCGGGGAAAAAAACTGCAATACCACAAGCTGCTCTGCTCTGTTATGATACCCATTCTGGTGCGCCGCATTGATTATGACAGGGAAGAAAAATGACTTACCCACTTCTCTACGTTTGCTGACCTTTCCAGCCTTCCCTATCCAGTCACAGTGAAGAGAGAGTCAACTTCAATCTGGTTAGGCCAGAGAACACCATTAAAAGATGAGACAACCACAATTAGTTTGCGTTTTGCTGCGCCCCGCCTCAGCGCGAGATGTGTGTTTTTGAGGCCCGTTCTTCCCTTCCATATTCATACGCGGTCCCTCCCGACAGGATTATAATAGTCTGTGCGATTGTAAAGAAAGCGCTCAGGACTGTGACTGGAAAAACCCTTAAGACTCCAGAAGCGCTGCCGGCAGGGGACACAAGAATAAAAAAAGGAAAAGATTTAACATTTCAATAAGGCAGACAGTGGGATGACCACATAATGAATCCCGCCTTCAGTGTCCGGGCTGCAGGCGAGGGAATCAGCACCTCATCCAGTCGGCTGAAGAAAAGGGGGGCCCCACAACCCTCGGAGGCCCTCGCCAGTGGGAGGAACCGCATTATATTTCTCTCTTTCCATTTAATTTGATTTCATATGTTCCGTGCAGCTATTTACTCTTTCCTCTGAGTCTGTGTCACTTCCATATTTATTTTTAAACCTCTGGGCCCTGGTGCAGACTCTGGCTGACCTTTATTTAAATGTCTCCTCCACTCTGAGCAGAACTCATTACAGCAGAGCTGGTGGCTTTGCCGTATCTATCTCATTTCAAAACTTTTTCCTTCTGCACTTGCGGGGACACTCGGCTATTCTGCGATGCTAATTACTGGACCCGGGTAATGATGTTCCTCCCTGTCACAGATACGTGTCCCGCCATTCGAAATCCTGCTCGATGCATTAAGCAAAACTCCCCCTGGATTCTCAAAGTTCCTTGAGCGGCTAACATCTCATCACTGCTCACAGCCCCGTCTTTTGTGCTCCTCTTGTGCCTCCCCTCGCCCGACGCCACAACACGCGTAAGCACTGTTGACACATTACTGGAGGTCTTGAACGAATGTTGTGTGGCTGCAACATGATTCTTTTTTTTTTTAGTTATTGATTAATCTATGGATTTATCTGTTAATTGGATTTAAAAAATCACTTTCTGCTGATTTTATTATTTAAGCCAATTTTTTTTTACAATATTAGAAATACTTTAAAAGATGTAAATAAACACTCCACTTCCTTTTTTTTTAAATAAAAAAGAAAGTCCCAGAGAAACTTGATGCAATAAAATAGCATTTTACTTTAGTGAACGATTGATCATCTGTATCAAAATATGCATCTGCAGCGACTTAGTTTTATCTTCACCTGGTTCAAATTCTTTAAACTATGTGACTTGAGGACTTTAGGTAGAATGTATTTACAGACAAATGTTTTTAAATGCAAACTGTATATGTTTTTGTACAGTTTTGGGACTGTTATCCTGACAGGCCTATCCATGTCAATTTATTATCTCAGCAAATCGACTTTTTTGAGTCCGTATACTCCAGTTAACAAGTAATTGATTCCTAAATTAGTTGACGATTATTTCAGTAATAGATTCATCACAATTAAGCCGATTAATCGTTTCTGCCCCAGAATGTTCAACTTAATCAATGACTCTAGAAGAGTTGAAAGGTCATTTCTGTCTGGGTTGCTGTCTGCAGCTCACATAGTGGGACACTTTCACTCAATTAAATGAAATTGATTTTTTTTTTTTAATGAAACATTTTCAACATTAATCTAATAATCAACTCTAATAATTTAAGTTGAAACTTGACTTATTGCAACTGTTCCAACTTAAGTACGACTTTAATCCAAGGTTCACACAGCAGGTGAAGTATTAATGGATGGCGCCATCCATGTTACAATTACTCAGCAAGACAACCACCAGTGTCGTCACAAGATCACGACGAGACGAAAGAAGCTAATGAAGACAAAGCACAACTAAAGGCAATGGTGTTTTGTGGAAAACTGACTGCAGCTTCTGATGAGAAGTCTGTTTGGATCCGTAGTTTTAGACCAGGAGTTTTTTTGAATGCCGTGTGATGCGCTTCACCGACACAGACTTCTTTCCTACGTCCTCATTGTTTACGTATAAGTTTACCGCAACTAGCCGCTTATACAAGATTGAGACACGTCTCAGGTCAACGTCATAAAAGTCGGATAAAATGCAACATTTTATCCCACTGTAGACGTTTTGAAAACTATCACATACATTTCCAACTTAGTACCACAATTCTGGGGGGAGCGGTGAAAGGGTGGGAATGGTTTAGCCTGCTATGAAAAAACATTTGATTTGTGTTGCATTCGCCTGCTGTGTGAACGTAAGCCTAAGTCTGCGACTTGAGTCCCCTTTTCTGGCTCGTGATAAGCAATGCAGCCCCCCAGATAATGACTTCAATACCAAATCTCAACTGTATCATCAACAGTAGACAGAAAAAAAAATACAGAGGGCTTAAATCCGCACCTGCTTTTTTTTTCCCCTCCTACCTTCTCTCCTGGCCTCCTCACAGCTTTCCTTGATCTTCCTTCGGCAGACAGCAGCCAGAGCGATGAGCAGGCCCAGCAGACACACGGCCAGGCCCACAGTAACCCACAGAGCCACCGGAGGGAAAGCAATGTTCTGACCTGAAGCGAAGAGGGCAGAGGGGGGGAAACAGGCGGAGAAATTACAACCTTTCTATTCAGTCTTGCAGAGCTAAAATAAGAGTGCAACTATCACAACATCCATCACCATTAGTCCACTACTTGGCACTTTTTCAAAGCTGAAATTGCGAGAAATGTATAAATAATCCAACCTGCGAGAAACTTGCAGGGCACAACTTAAGGATATGAATCATGGCTTTTGGCGAACGCTTCCATATCCATGTCGCATTCGCTTTAGAGAACGCCTGACAAGCAAGAAACAACAACTACAAAGGCGCGGGTACCTTTGTTTAATGCGAACAGACAAAGAGTTTCTAATTAAGACTTCTGAGTCGTGCAACTGTGTCCAGATGGCAGGTAGCTCACCAGTCGCACAAGGCTGTGTTGTCCTTTCACTCAGAAAGCACTGGCAGAGCTTTCAGATGATGTTGGCACTATCATACCCCCTGCCTTCTGCTACACATTGCTCAGATGTCAGATGTAAGTTCTGATGTTCCTGCTTTAATATCCTCCCGTTTCTTAATATCCCCATGGCAGTTGTGGAAAGCACAACCTGGGCATTTTGTGGAAAAGCAAAAGGTGCTTGTAATTGCATTCTCTTCCCCCACCCCTCCAAAGAGGTTGACTAAAATATTGTCTAGCTCTTTTATGCTAGACAACATTATTTCAAGGAAGCACCTCAAATTACGCCTTATCCCCCCCCCCCAAAAAAAAACAAAAACATCTTCGCACACGTGTGTTTTCAACCATACAACATTAAGATAACACTCAGCAATACGGAGTTATGCTAACATCCCTTCTGCAGACAATTAGCTGTCCAAGTTAGTTGGAGCGCCCTGGCAAACTGCGAACTGGTGAGGGGAAATAAAACCCGGTCAGCAAGACTAAAAAGATTTCAGACACAGCCAAATTTCCCAGGGGTATTCAAACTGAACAGAGGGAGAAGAAAGGCAGAAAACAGCAGAGCCACTAAATAGCTGTGGGTCGGGATGCGATGCATACAGTCTCTCTGAGTTACTCCGCTCACGGCAGAAGGGGAAAAAAAAATAAAAAATCTAAAAAATGAATGACATTGGAGAGACATAATGATGAGGCATTTGCCAGGCCTTGGAATCAGCTCTGATTTGAGGCAGGCTGCATTGCAACATGCACAAAAATAATAATAATGATAATAATAATAAAAAATCTCCACAGTGCAATTCGTTATGACGTAAATGCACAGGATACGGAATACAAGGAGAGATGCAAATACCTTTTGGGGATGGCAATATCATTTGTTCAGCCCTTTGGTCTTCTTTTCAGAAACTATTAGATGGACTGCCCTGACATTTCTGATTCCCTGCAATGAATCCTAATGACTTTGGGGAGTCGGTGGATTGCCCCTGACTTTTCTCGGAACCTATTGAGTGGAAGGCTATGAAATTCACCGTATTAATTCCTTTTAACTTTCCCTCAAATGCCAACATTGGATCAAATTTCAACTTGTGCCACTGTGGTGGGTTTCATAAATACTTGCAAAACTGCAACTGTTAGCTTTATAATGGGAGAACATAGTCATTATTGTTACTCCATAAGAACAGGATAGTCACTGTGAAAATGTATTTCATTGTTTATCATTTGCATCCAGTTTATTGTTGCTTGTTTGCTGGTGATAGAGGGGTATATAAAAGAAAACTAGTAGTTATTAATATTCCATTAAAAGTTATGTTATTCTTGTTTGATACCACAAAAATGTGACAAAGAGGCACTCTGATTATTTGATGAAAGCTTTTTAAGATAACAGAGAAGAGAGGAGGAGAAAAGATTAATTTGAAGTGCCTGATCTTTCTTCAGTTTTTTAAAAAATGGGACACAATGTTCCCAATGTATCCAGTGGCAGATGTACTTCAGTGTAAAAAGAGAAAACGATAGAAATTAACTCTAAAAGATAAAGTAAGCACAGAGGTCGCGCTCACACTTAATCCACGTGAATTAAAAAAGTTAAACAAAACTTTTAGCAATTTGGGCACCTAAAGGAGGCAAAATTGTCTAAGCCTATGTCAGACTAAAATACTTTTTAGTCTGATAAAGATTAAAAAAATATTTATGGGCTTTTTAAAAACAATTATGGACTTACTTTAGACCTGTTTGTGGTCTATTTACCAAGGAAAATACTCTGTAAATACAGGTGGAGAAAGCATTATATGCACAGCTTCATATATATATGTGTATATATATATATATATATATATATATATATATATATATATATATATATATATATATATATATATATATATATATATATATATATATATATATAT